CATTGTCTCATGGTTAAACTTGTTTGTTTTCTGACTTGAAAAACCTGAAAAAATTAAGATTACGATAATGATATTTAATAATTACATCATTTGTGTTCAAATAGGGGCCCTAGTAGTGTAGTGGTTAAGAGCTCGACTGCTAACCAAAAGGTCACTGGTTCATACCCACCAGCCACTCTGCGAAAAAAGTTGTGGCAGTCTGCTTCCGTAAAGATTTCAACCTTGGAATCCCTATGAGGAGTTCTACTGTGTTCTGTAGGGCCGCTATGAGTCGGAATCGACTTGACAGCAACAGGATATGTGTATGGATGTGTTAAAATACCTTTTTTTTTTTTTTTTAAAAGAAATGACCATCTTTTAATATTTTTCAGGGGTTATAAAACGAATCATTCCTGCAGTAGCTTCCACAAATGCAGTTATTGCAGGTGAGGAAAAAAGGCCACCACTTAGTTCTATTTCTTCTTTTCCTTTTGTTTTTAATTCTGTTTGTTGACACTAACTTGGCTTTTCTGCAGCTGCTTTGTCTCACAAAACTGTTGTTCTAGTGATTGGATATATTCTTGAGTGGATGGTATAATAAGTTGAACAAGCTGTTGGACCTTGTATATTATTTGTCTTAAATTATGCCATAGATACAGTACTTTGCAATAGGGGCTATTTTTGTGCCTTTTCTTTTTAATCAGTATAGCAAACTCCTCATTAATCTGATGAAGAGGAAGAAAAACATATAATATTACTTTATCACTTGATTATACAAAATAAAAATAAAATTTGTTACTTCCTCAGTTTTTTAAATGTATAGATATACAAACATATACATATTTTAATCATAGCCCTGAGGGCAGATAAACAGATGTTCTATTTAAAGATATTTCAAAATTATCTGTTAAAACTGCTGATTTTAAGTATTTAATTTTCACTGAGTTAAAGTACTTTTGTTTTCTCCTCTCTTCAGCTGTGTGTGCCACTGAGGTTTTTAAAATAGCAACAAGGTAATAGATTTCATTTTTAATAGTGTATGTGAATCCACGTTTTGAACTGACTCAATTACATAAAGATGAACATTTTTTCATTGCAGTGCATACATTCCCCTTAATAATTACTTGGTATTCAATGATGTAGATGGGCTGTACACATACACATTTGAAGCAGAGAGAAAGGTTAGTAGTATTAATGAAAAATTGTGATCATGCATACTTTGATTTTTAAATATTTCTAGTTAGAAATTTGAACCAAATTGTCCACACCCTGAGTACTTTATTTTCTAACTTTTTGAACTATACGTACTGTATATCTTTTGTAATATAGCATGAAAATAACTGTAGCAAAATAATTTAGGAAAAATGGTCTACTATGAAAACAGATTTTAAAGCATAAAAAACTGTCCGCAGGAAATATGTGTGATTATAAAACAATCTGATTTTCATAATTTTCAAAGAGATTAGTATTGGTCCATGTGCCATTGTGATTTGTTGTGTTTCATATATGTAGGAAAACTGCCCAGCTTGTAGCCAGCTTCCTCAGAATATTCAGTTTTCTCCATCTGCTAAACTACAGGAGGTTTTGGATTATCTAACCAATAGTGCTTCTTTGTAAGTGTTCTGGATTTTTGTTACATTGTAAAAATCATTTTTGTGATTTTAATACTTTAAAAACTAGAATTGTTTTTTTCAGAAATGATCCTTGATACTTCTTTCTCATGATTATATTTAGGCAAATGAAATCTCCAGCTATCACAGCCACATTAGAGGGAAAAAATAGAACACTTTACTTACAGGTGATGATCAGTGTTGAATTTTTATTTTTTTCAGGAAATTGTATGAAAAGCTTAATTTCACCCTAATGTGCTTTCAAATAATTTTGTTTTCTAGTCGGTAACCTCTATTGAAGAACGAACAAGGCCAAATCTCTCCAAGACATTGAAAGGTATTTTAAATAATGTATTTACCAGTAGTTTTCTTCTTTTTTGGGAGTAAGAGTGAGGTGAGAGTGAACGTAATACATGCTTATTCTAGATTGCTCTTAATAATGCCTTTAAATGATGATATGATCATAATTACTTACATGTTTAGACACATTAATAGAATTAATTGCTCTTTTAGTAGAATTTTTTCAAATCTCTAAGAGATCAAATATATCACCTTGACTAAAGACCAGGTGGATTTTTATGTTTATCTGAACTCTGCGGTGTGTGTGTGTGTGTGTGTGTGTGTGTGTATTCTTTTTGTTGAGATTTTTGCTTGAGTTAATTATACTTTTTCCATTTTTAGAACTGGGACTCATTGATGGGCAAGAACTGGCAGTTGCTGATGTCACCACACCACAGACTGTACTATTCAAACTTCATTTTACTTAGGAAAAATAAATCTGTATATAATGGAAGAGTCATGGAAATATTATCCTTTGTGGATGCTAAGAAATTCAATGTCATTTTTAGCATTAGTGTTACTGGAATTTGACTTTTTTTTTTTTATATATAACGAACCATTCTTTTTTAAACTTCATAACTTTCCCTTGAAGACAGAATTTTGGGGTTGGTGCCTGTAAGCATTTTCATTAACAATATGTGAAATGATGCTGGATAGAGAGATGATGTGCAAATACATTGCTTCTCTTAGAGGAGAGGAAACACCCGCTTGTGCGTGAATTTTGTTTGTTATGGTCAAAGAATGCATTCCTAGCCTTCAGTTGAGCACCCACATATACAAAAGATGCCCCTTTTGAGAAAATAAGAAAATTAAGTTTGAAATAACATTAAACATTACCACCTATTTGACATTTAGAGCATATTGAACATAACGTATTTCTTGCTTGTTTCAATATTCATTTAATTGTGGCTGTCCAGATGAATATAAATTATTGCAAAGGGTTATCTTGTCCATAATAATTTGTAAATGGTGTAATGGCTGAATACCTGTGCGTGGAAATGGGGATATTTTCATGTATTTATTTGCTGTGCCATTGAGGCCAATATGCACAATATTAAAGCCAAGATATTTAAAAGAATTTAATGTTCAAACAGTTATCACTGATGCTTTTGCACTATTTATTAATAAAATCATATGTTGTCTACATTTTTAAACTGAAATTTGTAAAATTAAGTAGTTCCATAGTAATGTAGGAGTAATTTTTAAATGTATAATAGAATTGCCAACACAAAATTGTTATTGGCCCTGAATTAATACTTCTGTTACAGTGATCTCTACACTAAAGATCTGTTGATTTAGTTTAACTTGCACGAACAATGTTAATGAAATATAATAATATTTTTTTTATTATGATCTTTCAGAATACTTTTTTCCCTAAAGGACTAAAGCTTAAAACAAAGTTAAGCATAAAGCTTAAACAGAGTTAAGCATAAGTACTAAAAATGCGTTCTAGTATCTTAATATGGGAACATGTACTACCTGTTCTCACTCTTTGTTCTTGGCATAGAGACAGTTTTTTTTTTTTTTTTTTTCAATAAGCATGC